CTTTCTGTAGTAATGTCGGGTCCCTACACCCGAGATAACAGCGATTTTGGTCGACCTATGCTCCCTCCGAGCAATCCGCTCAGCCTCCTCCATCAGCAGAGTACCATAACCCTGGTGCTGCAGCTTATCTGTGTCTCGACCATGAACAGGAACTGCAGTCCCATACACATGAAGCTCACGAACAATTGAACACTTTCCCGTGAGTTCTGGGCAAGTCACATTCCGCCCACACTTCCGCAGCCGTAGCAATCCAACAAGAATATCCTGCATCATAATGAAAAGAAAGGTCCCTTCTTATATTAAAGACGTTAACAGTCATACAATGACTGGCAAAGATGTGAGACAACAAGTTTTTCAGCAATTACATGAACTCTTCAAGAGTGGAAGTAAACAATACTTCGCAATAGTTTACCAGCAAGACTTGTTTACTATCTACAATCTTATCAAATTTAAAAGTTGAAAAGAAGAATATCCTGGACCATTTTCTTCGTTTTTAAATTGCAGGTCACGATTCCGAAGAAATTTCCTTAAAATGTAAAAAGAAAAAGAAAAAAAGGTTTGCTTACATCACTGTATAGAAGTTATGTGCTGATCCCACCGCAGAAGTAAAACAAATCTAGAACAAGTAACCTTTTTTTATTGTTCAAGAATCTAGAACCAGTTACCGCTTTTGGCAGCAAAATATATTGAGTTCAATTTATTAGCTTGGCACTAGAGCAAGGAAGGAGTTGTAAATCGGCAAAGGGAAACACAGCTGAATTGACATACCTGGCGTGTATCTTCGTATGAAAGGAAAGTCTCCCATCCTTCATTTGCAGTATAATCACGGCGAACAAGCTCAACCTCTTCAGGCCTTATCTTGTTGTGAATGTCCTAATATGTTATTTCCATCAAAAGTTTGAGTTCTGTGACCACACTGTAAGAGAAGCAAGGAAGTAGATACAAAAATTATATTACCTGGATCCCAGCTTCGCGTGTTCGGACATCTCGGCATTTCAAGCCAAGATCATCCATTCGAGCTAAAGCCAATTCTCGGAGATTCCCTTTCTCAACTCCAGAAGTCACTAGAGGCATAGGGATATCACGCTGGACCCTGTAAACTCGGGTCCAAGGTGGCACCATAGAAAGAATCCTTGCTACAATGTCTACAAGCTGCTCTGGCGGATAATTTCTATACCTGCACGTGTTAACACTTATAATGACTAATGACCTCATTGAAATAATATTTCAAGTTTGAATCCAACAATATGGCTACTGCTATTGCCAACTAGGTTATTGGATGAAATCAATCTTATTGCCTGATTAAATAATGATTCAGTGATGGAAAAACAACATGTGCGATAACAAAATCCAGAAAGTAGACTATACCTTCCAGTTTTCCACAGTTCATAAAGCCCCGTGCCACGAATAACAAGTGTAGGATAAATTTTAAGTCCATCAGTCCTAAATGAAGGACTTTCAAAGAATTCCTTGAAACTCTCCAAATCTCTTTCAACGCCAACGTTTGGAAGGTCAGGCATCATATGAGCAACCACCTACAAAAAATTAACAAAGGTATGCATGAAAATTTTACCAGTACAACGGTGTACGCAGCCTTACTCCTGTGGCCTATTGGGAGCTTTTTAATCATAGCGGTAGCTTTCGGAAATTACTTAGCAGTCATGGTCATGATCACAGGAAGAGGGAAGAAACAAGGGAGAAGATCTACCTTGTGAAGGTAGAGAAGTTGTTTCTGATAGACCCTCGGCTCAAGTAAAGCATATCAAAATCAAGTATGGAAAAGAAAAATAATAATGAAGACACCATACTAAAAATAAATGAGAAGAGAACAATAGAAACAACAAATGATACGGTAATTGAAGCAAAAGAAACAACACATAACGATAAAATTATATTCCTCAAGTCCAAAATGATAAGTGGGACTACACTGGGTATTTTTTTTTTGCCTCTGGGTATGTTGTGAAGTCCAAAAAGATAATAGAAGGGAATTGAATGTCAGAATGTGAGAATCACACCAACAGCTTCAAGACAAAGCTTCATTTTAAATCCTTCCAAATGAGCTAAGATACGTCCAAATAGATAATATCACAACTAAGGATGTAAATTTGATTTTCCATTTAAATTTCTTCTTCAAGGCTCATCTTCCGTGTCGCTTGGGGAGGGTGAAGGCTATTAGAGGTAGAAGGGTTTTGTAACCTGGAACCAAAAGTAGAGATTGAACCCAAACCACCAACAAAAAGAAATTAGAAAAGCACCTTGAAGCCAGCATCTTTTGCCAAACAAAAGCAATCAGCCACAGCTGCAACAGTGTGGCCTCTATTGGTGTCACGAGCAACATCCTCATATGTACTCTGGACTCCAATTTCTAGCCGCGTACAACCGTAAGAAAGCATTTGTCTCAAATGAGGTCCAAGGCAGTAGTCTGGCCTCCTATTGGCAAAATACAAACTTTTGAGTACACACAAAAGATATAAATAAAATGCTTAAATTATTCAGAGGTAGTAGCTCAACCAAACGTCTAGCCTCCAAAGAAATTGAGTATGGCACCTTGTCTGCTTCTTGTTTTAGTTTGAATTATTTTCCATCTCGTTATTAGTATTCTTATAATCGAATATGATAGAAGAAGAATCACAATAATAACAATCAAAGGTCGCAGAATAATAATATAACTAAAAAACCAAAGATGGCAGTGATAATCATGAGGATGAGGAAGATGAGAACTCAAAATATGTTTTCTTCCTTACTGGGAGATGCACTATCATGCATTAAACACTAAGTCTGAACTCAGTTCCCACATGAAAAAAGCAAGACAAAAGAGAGGAGAACAAAATTGATAAAAAGAGGATATCTCAGTTACAGAGGACCAAAATATAAGCTAAAAGGTTTCTCAAGGTACTTTTCCCTGTGGAATTTTTTTTTCTTGTTAGTGTTTTTCACTGTGATTTTTAAACCGCTCTCATGTAGCCAATAGTTACTCACGTTTCAATTGTCATCCCAATGCACTTTGTCGCCCCATGTTCGGAGTACGCGACAGCCTCTTCAACATTGGCAGAAGTATGTCCGGATAAAGCATCATGAAGATTCCGTGTGAAGTAATCACGGTATTCAGCAGGCAATGACATGAATGTACCTCCCATCAAGATAAATTCAACCTGCAATAAGACATTCGTAACTGTGAGGAAAGCAGCCAATTTCAGAACAATTTTCCAAAATCAGAAAAGATTAAGTAGTACTTCCAAAGGGGAAAAACCTTGTCAACACTGTGACCCAATCTCTTAAGTTGATCAATCCGGCTTCGAGCTTGTACATAAGGGTTGTATCTGAAAAAATGAACCACATAAGTACAAATCCTGATCTTGTCTTTCCAAAGATTACTTTTTTGAGTAAGTGAGTATAACAACTTTTTAATTAGCCACATATAAGGAATGCCACATTTTTTTCCAACAAGAAAAAAGTATATGGAAGGTTTAACAAATCTCGGATGCAAAGACACATCAACCAGCATTAAATCCTTATCTTACGTATGATACTTTCCGGTGATAACAGCAAAACTTCTCCAATTTAAAAAATGGAACATATAGATGAGCTTCTCACTTATCAGTAAACTATATAGATGAAATTTGAAATCCTAAGGCATAATTCAGGATAACTACTTCCATTCGATTGCAAATTGACGGAAGGAGAATATCAAACTGCAAATACACCTATGTATGTGATGCTCACCTAGCTCGAATAGCTCGCATACTAGTAGGCTCATATCCAGTGTATGACTGTGTACTGTACTCAAAATCAGAATCAGGGCCACCAGGGCAATAGACACAAATGTTTCCGGTGGTAGCTATATGAGGACAACGATGAGGCTTGGACATTACAGCTACGACAGCTATTCCAGAGGCTGTACGGACAGGCTTGGCTCGGAGTTTGGGAAGCAGTGTTTCACGTTCTGAGTCAGGCAAAGCAGCGATCATCTCTACCAACTTAGGAGCCCGAGAGAGCCCGTATTTGCGGCACGCTGCTGACTTTAGCGCATTTAGGTCTACATCTTTGCCTTTCCGTGAGAGTTCCACCATGTTGTTGACGATCTCCGTTATAGCACGAACTCTAGCTTCTTCATCTGTCAGGCCGAGGGACACAACTCCGCCCCTTCCCGGCCGCGGGAGCTTTCGGGTCTCCGCTACCGCTACCGCCGCCGCCATGAGTGATAGTAGATTGAGAAGAATGACCTGAAACCGCCGAAGTCGGTTGCTTTTAATATATTTTGCTGCTTGCCGATGGACCCCGCAATGGGAAAAGTGGAGGGGTTTAATGTAATTATTTACAAACTGGTCGTCTAATTATTGAAAAGATACAATTAAGTCCCCAGGTAAGTCAGAGTTTTAATTTGTACCACTGATTAATTGTATTATTGTCAATCCAACTTCTAAATAGTCCTTGTTTCGTCAAAGTTGAAATGCTCATTAGTCATTAGGATTTACTCAATTCTCATTAGCAAATTCAATGTAAAATCATCTTCAAAGGAAAAAAGAATTGCATGGTAATATTTTATATATATCATTCATATAATACTTAAATTGTGTTACCAACAATCAATATGATATCTTGTTGATGTGATCTAAATAAACAAAACTTTTGATGGGACTAGTGGGGAGCAATGAGAATCATGAGATTTCAAATATTTTGATGAAAACAATACTAGGTGATTTTTTTATTAGAGTTACTCAATCCTCACGTAGATTGGTGGGAGGTGGTACAGATATAATAGAATTAGTCGAGTTCACACACCACTATGCTTTATTATACGTAGATAGCTCCAACACCACTTCTCATCCGGTGTCCGAAGCCCGCATTTGAGCTCTGACTAAATTCAAATTGTGCACTGCAAGGTCCATTTGGAGGTGGCACTCCCAACAAGATTTTCTCCATCCAATGAACTAAAACTTGCAATAATTAAATTCAAATTCCACGTTTATGCTTCAAATATTGTGTCTGAATAAGTAGGATAGTCAGAACAACTTCACTCCCAGTAAATAAGTACTATTTCACAATGCATACCAAGCAATAACTGCACAAAGTCTGCTAAAATGGTTAAAAACAAAGTGAAATCTTATAATGCCCTACGAGATTGAAGGAAATCAGCACTTTCTGTTGATACATTTACAGGAAAACGGAGAAGGAAACTCTCAAACCACAACAAAATTGACTCCTAAAATTATGTATACACTGATCACTCCTACCTATTTTTGCATCAAAGATGCAGTGAGAAAATGAACGAAAGCTAAACTAAGCTGATATGAAGTACAACAGAGAGACGGTACTTATTAGCTGATTTGAAAGAGGGCATCACGATTCATCTTCAGACTCTGAAGTCTCTACTTGCTCCGCTGGCCCTTCAATTGTACCAACAACTCGTCCTTGCGCAGGTTGTTGAAGAATATTTCCAACTAAATATAAAAAAGGAAATTTAATTGGTTAAACCTATCCCTTTTTGATGTACATGCTACATATTCCAAACTAAAATATGAAACTACTTTTCTTCTTTAATGATAAATGGATAAATACTGATGATGTTCACCATGAAATAGCAGTTGAACGCTAACATAAGATGAAGGAAGATTTTTCCTGTCAAAATATATACGATGGAAATCATTTATATAAAAGGATTACCTGATAGTAAAGTTTTGCCAAGAAACGCCTTTGCAAACTGGATTTCTGCCTGGTGAGTACTAATAAATTTATCCTGCAAATTTTATTTCTATAAGAAATCTGATTAACGATTCAAAAATCCATAAGAAGCTGCGCATATACATGTTAGAGACAAACTATTGAACAAGAATCCTTAAGCAGTCCTATGAGATTACATGCATGATAGCAGTTTCTTGACTTCTTCCAGCATTGCACTGAAATTTCTGAAAATCTTTGGAAGAAGGCTAAACATCAAGCAACAACAATGCATCCTAATAAAGTGAGCTAGATGACACTTTACATATTCTTCAATTAAATGGCAAGTTGCATCTACACATTTGATATGCAAATTTACAACATACGTGAACAAATAACTTTTACCAATTCTCCATGAAATAACTCCAAAATATGATCCAGTCTTGCTTGATGTCTCATGAGGAAAGGGCACAGATGGTTCGTGTACAATTGCTTTGCACCCTGTGTAACACCAATAGAAGTGCATGACTTTACAAAAATCCATTTTCGGTGAAAAAACCAAGTATAAACTTCAAGCTAAAGCTACATCCTCAACTCTAATTAAGCAGTTCAGCTGAATTCAACTCAAAAGCAGCTAGATCTTTTTTTCTTTCCAAGAGGTTTGGCCGGATACACTCACAAGTATGTTGAGATTAAGGCATCTTAATGCTAATTTTAATTGATTAGAAAAAGTTACAAAGGGACCAGTGATGATTATCCTAATTATTAAATATAGTTTACTATCCTCACCATTATCTATTTTCCACTGTCTGCCAGATTCACTAGCTTCCCCTCACCCACCCATCCTCTCTAAGACTCCCACCTTCCTTGTCTCTTGCTTGAAACCTAAGTTCCACGATCTCTTTCTCTTATTCAAAACCTAAGCTTCGCCTACTTACCTTCTGTCTCTCTCTCTCTCTCCTTTCCATCTCTGTATATCTCTTCATGACTTCATCTATCTTCTCCTCCCAAACATGTTATTCTTCAATCTTTCCTCGGTTTTCTCTTCAATAGCAGAACCAACAAGGCTTTCATATGGAAAGGATATCCAGTTATAATTTGTTAGCTCATAAAGTCACAGTCTTCCGAACGGTAAAGGTATTGCTTTTTCCCAAGCACTTATCTTTTGGAATGGGGAAGGGGATATATTCGGGATACATAAATCATGAAAGTGAATTGTGTTTTACACCAATCCTCCCCAAAAGCAGGATACGTGAAATGGAAAGGAAAGAGAAAGACAAAGTTCAAGAAACAAAATATCTGTTGAACTCACCTCAGCAGATGGAAGTTGAAGCCAGACAAGAAATGCGAGCTTCACATGATAGTATAGTGGGAACCTATGAAATAAGACAAAGTTCTTCCATGTTACAAGAGCAAGGCTACTAAAAATTGGTATTCCCAAACTTATAACCCCATGTAACCACATCAGAGTGGCTATAAGCAAATTAGAAAACGAAAATGGAAGCAGTACCAGTAGAGAAATTTATCCGTGAATGCTTCAACAATACGGAAAGATCCATATGCTGCAAGCAGAGAGGGAGTGAGAGAGAGTAACTTATGATTCATTTAAAAGAGATATATGGGCAAGATAATTGCAATCACATAAATCTAAAACTAGTTACTGTGACTCATTCAATCCACCGTGATTAGGCCTTGAATAGGTTAAGAATAAGTCACCAGGAAAGTAAAAGTATTCAGGGGGAGTGGGAGTTTCCTTCTATTTATTTATTTTTTTGTTTGGTGGGGGGGTGGGGGTGGGGGGAACAGTGACACCTATTCGAAAAATTATCATAAAACATGAAGTTAGTATCATCATAGAATTAATAACCAGAAGGGGAAGAAAAAGACAAACACCAATCCGTACCGATTGCTCACTTTCTGCTGGGGTCATATATCAAATCAGGTGATGTCTATGTTGCCAAGGGCGAATTTATAGGCAAAAATATGGGGCACATGGACCCGTGGTCTTTCTGTAAACCTAGATATTTAATGTATATATTTTCCAAAATTGGTATAATATTATGTTCTGGCAGTGGCACCCATGCTAACAAGAAGACTAATGGTGTACTTGGTTGAATGTTGAGTTATTTACCTTGAGATCTAGGAATCAATTCCCACTTCATATATTTTTTCTGAACTAGGGATCAATTCCCACTTGGCCACTTCATACATTTTTTCTTTCTTTTTTTAGTGATGCACCCATGTTCTAGAAATCTTATGTTGCTTGGACCCTTCAAAATCTTTGTCGCACCAGTGTTGATCCGACACAATTTGGGTGTGGGATCCACACTAGATCTGGTCAACTTACCTTGGGTGCTTTGACTACATCTATGACCAAGAAGTATAAATTGGAAGGTATTTGGTTTGATTTTAGAGTGCATCTCATATTATATGTAACACTTTGCTATTACACGAGATATCTTGTGAATAAAAGTAGGTGTTTATAAGAATTAAATTTACTAGTTTTAGTTTAATGTCACTAATTAATCAAAATATGTATATATATATATATATATATATATATATAAACTAATGGAACTAGATTTTACTCTAGTTAAACCTCTATGGTATATAGAAGAAAAAACCTTAGTATCAATACTACAGGTAATCAAATATTTAAATGAAGATTTAAAAAGAAAATCATAAGTAAAATTACATTAGAAAAATCTGAAGAAGAGTTTTTCATGTATGAAATAAATTATAATTATCCTGAAGTAATTATAGATGATATGAATACATCTGATTATTACTTTTCAGAATAAACATGAGCATAAGAGAAGTCTTAGAACTATTAAAAGACTTAATGGAAAGTCATAAACAATTAACTTTAAGACTAAAAATGATAGAAATATAAATCATTTCTCTTAAAGAAAATATTCCTGGAAGAATTACGGATATAATTGAAAAAACAGAAAAATTTAACAAAAAGGTAAGTCAAAAATACATAAAAGAATTACTAGCAAAAAAATTTGCGAGTAAAAACACCTATCAAAAAGGAAGTATGGATGAAACATTAATCCAAATTTTTTTGGAAAAACAAAAAATTGATAAAACAAAAGAAGAAAATCTAGAAACAACAGAAAATAATTCATTAGAATCAGAGAAAGATTTTGAAAAAATGAATGAACTAGATGAACTAGTTTATGCAATGGAAGATCTTAATCTTTCAGAGCAAAAGTTAAAAGTATTTATGAATAAAGGGGAAACAGGAGGACCCCAAGGAAAATTCGAAGAAGATGGATCCAAATCCAAAAAAGAAGAATGGCAAGAAGAACCTGAAAAGAGTGATAAATTTTTTGCAAATAAAGCAAAAAAGAACAAAGATTTTATAAAGCATTATCATAATGATGACAAATCTAGGTTCATGCCTAATAGGCCAGGAGATATTGGAACCCAATTCCTAGATTTAGATTGTAAAAGAGATCCAGAAACAAGCCTAGATTTATGGTCTCAAAATATACTACTTTATTTCCTGTTAGGAAAAGGAGTAAATTATACTGATGAAGAAAAATATATCATCACGATAAATACTTTTATAGGAAAAGTAAATGACTGGTTCTCTGGATTAACAGAGGATGCAGAAAAAATAATAAAAAATGATACCTTAGATGGATTAAAAAATTCTTTACAAGAAGGAATAACAAATCTAAAGCAATATATAGCAAATGAATTCTTTGGTGGACAAGAAAGCCCTATTGACAATAGGGTAAAAGCAAGAACAATTGCTAAAGAACAATTAGAAAAATTACAAATCTGTAAAATGAGTTATATTCAAGAATACACTTGTGAATTCAAAGAATATTACTATAAAATATTTGATAGCAGTAAAGAAATGATACCTTATCTCGAAAAATATTATCAAAAATTACCAGGCTTCTGGGCAAAGTACTTCAGAGAAGATTATGAAAAAGATAATACGAAAGGAGATACTCTGGGTCAGAGAATAAGTTTCTTAAAAAATAGATTAGGTCAATTATGCATGTCACATAATATACAAAGAAAGGCCAAAAGAATAAATACACAAATTTACTGTTTAGATACAAACGCAGCCACTCAATGGGGATGTAACGATGACAAACCCTATAAAAGAAGAAAACTCAGAAAGGGTCTAATTAAGAGAAAAAAAAATTCTAAACTAAATTATGTACCCAAAAGAAAATATTATAAAAAGAAAAAAGATTTTAAAAGAACAAAACCTGCAGAAAAATGCAAATGCTATAATTGTTGTAAAGAAGGCCATAAAAGTTACGAATGTAACAAAAAAAGAGTAAAAATATCAAAAATTGACAGAATAGAGATCGATTCTGATCTAGAGTCAATAAAATCAATAGAAAGTGAAGACTTATTTGAAGAATATTCCACAGATTCAAATGAATAAAGAAATACAAAAGGAGGAAGACAATTCAGTTCATATATTAGAAACTGAAGAAGATCAAAGGGGTTACGCCCTAAAAGCAACTTTTGATAGAGAAATATTTAGAAAAATCCAAGGATTAAAACTTAAAGTAGAAGATAATTTATTAAATAGAATGCAAAGAATGTTTGCAAGAAATAAAATATCTTATCATGAATACCAAGAAATAGAAATTACCCAAACTACAGGAAAACATAAACTAAACCAATGGTAGATCGAATACTTAGAAAAATTCCTGAAAAGAAAAGGAAAAAAATGAACTATGTCCATCTAGGAGGCATTCAAATACTAGTCAAATCAACTTTGAAAGAAGGAATCAATTGTCTTATAGTCATTAATCTCTCAGATGAAAAATTTATGAATGCAAGAGATGGAAATCTTGGTATAATTGAAGGAAACCTAGCCTACACCAAGCTTCTATTTACATATTACCCAAAATATTGTATTTATCTAAAGGACGCAGATTTTAATGACGCATTAAGTTTACACTTCCAAATTAAGAGAAAAGACCTTTTTAAACCAGGTAACCATATAATGAGTATTTATTATCAGACATTATATACAGTTACGAATTCCAATTATGGAAGATATACAAAAATAAAGGAATGATCGAAATTGATCAAGAATGTTTAGGAATAGCAAGAATTGTTGAAGCAGAAATTCAAAATGCTCAAATTCTAGAAGAAATATGAAATCCAGTTTGGAAAAACACAAGAAATAGGAAGCTCTAGCAAAAGTAATCCTAGACTTTCGATCGATTATGGAAGAAATTCCATCAGAAAAAGTATATCTAATAGATATCCTAAAAGAATTCTAGAAAATCCTAATATTACTAGAATCATGGGAAGAATCTATAATGGAACAGAATGGAAATCGCAAGAAATACTAATTCAAACCGGAGCAACAGCTAACCATATAAAGGGAATTCTAATAGAAGGATTACAAATTTATGAAGAAAATCCTTATAATTATAAAACCTTTGAGGGTAACAGTTTTAGTTGTAAGAATATGATAGACCTACCAATACAACTAGACACAATAAGAATAACAGTTCCATGTTATATTACTAATCACAAAAGTGATCAAAATCTTATCCTAGGAAATCTTTTTCCTATTAGTCTAGAAGACTACAGTATAGGAAAAAATGGTATAGAAATGATTTATAAAAATGAAACTTGTTTTATACCAAAAAAAATAAATGCCAAAAAAGACATCTTTTAAAGTATCAGTTTTCATAGAAATCACTTTCTATGATACCAAAATAACAATCTGTTGTCAAATAGACAATGGATCTGAAGCAAGTTTAGCCAAACCTTTTGTTATAAAAGAATGGGAAGTAAATAAAAATAATATATCAATGATTGGAATTACTGGAGACAAAGAAAAGCTTTCCCAATCCAAGGAAAAGGTAGAAATAATTTTAGGATACAAAATTGTTTCTATAAATAAATTATTTGCCTACGATAAACTGGAAACAGATTTATTATTGAGAAATGATTTTTTACAACAATTTCAGGAGTATCATCAAACATTGTATATGATAAGCCTTAAAACTCCTTGCGGACATTTTATTAAAGTTCCAAGAAAACAAAATCCTTATATTATTGAAAAGGATAACAAAAGAAAATATTTAGAAAACCTTAGAAGAATCTCTTGCAAATGCCTTAACTTAAAAAAAATAAAGGAGAATTTGCAATAGTCATATGGTGAAAACCCCTTAGAAAAATGGGAACAAAATCATGAAAGAGCTATTTTAACTCTAAAAGACCCCAGTATAGTCATTAGGGTAAAACCTATGCTCTACAATGAAGACGATAAAATTGAATTTAAAATTCAAATTAAAGAATTACTTAATCTAAAATTAATAAGACCAAGTAAAAGTCCTCACAGTAGCCCAGCATTTATGGTAAGGAACCATGCAAAACCAGGAAGTGCTCTATTAATATGATGGATAGCTATACGGTGTCTCCATGCTCTCCTTCTAATTAAATGCACATGGCGTTGTATATGCTTCATAGCATAAATATAAATAAGATGTAGTGCTTCATAATTATAATAATTTTTTCAATTAATGTTAAATTCCCTGTAGGTACTAATAATTTGACTCTAGATCAGAATCGATCTCTATTCTGTCAATTTTTGATATTTTTACTCTTTTTTTGTTACATTCGTAACTTTTATGGCCTTCTTCACCACAATTATAGCATTTGCATTTTTCTGCAGGTTTTGTTCTTTTAAAATCTTTTTCCTTTTTATAATATTTTCTTCTGGGTACATAATTTAGTTTAGAAATTTTTTTTCTCTTAATTAGACCCTTTCTGAGTTTTCTTCTTTTATAGGGTTTGTCATCGTTACATCCCCATTGGGTGGCTGCGTTTGTATCTAAACAGTAAATTTGTGTATTTATTCTTTTGGCCTTTCTTTGTATATTATGTGACATGCATAATTGACCTAATCTATTTTTTAAGAAACTTATTCTATGACCCAGAGTATCTCCTTTCTTATTATCTTTTTCATATTCTTCTCTGAAGTACTTTGCCCAGAAGCCTGGTAATTTTTGATAATATTTTTCGAGATAAGGTATCATTTCTTTACTGCTATCAAATATTTTATAGTAATATTCTTTGAATTCACAAGTGTATTCTTGAATATAACTCATTTTACAGATTTGTAATTTTTCTAATTGTCCTTTAGCAATTGTTCTTGCTTTTACCCTATTGTCAATAGGGCTTTCTTGTCCACCAAAGAATTCATTTGCTATATATTGCTTTAGATTTGTTATTCCTTCTTGTAAAGAATTTTTTAATCCATCTAAGGTATCATTTTTTATTATTTTTTCTGCATCCTCTGTTAATCCAGAGAACCAGTCATTTACTTTTCCTATAAAAGTATTTATCGTGATGATATATTTTTCTTCATCAGTATAATTTACTCCTTTTCCTAACAGGAAATAAAGTAGTATATTTTGAGACCATAAATCTAGGCTTGTTTCTGGATCTCTTTTACAATCTAAATCTAGGAATTGGGTTCCAATATCTCCTGGCCTATTAGGCATGAACCTAGATTTGTCATCATTATGATAATGCTTTATAAAATCTTTGTTCTTTTTTGCTTTATTTGCAAAAAATTTATCACTCTTTTCAGGTTCTTCTTGCCATTCTTCTTTTTTGGATTTGGATCCATCTTCTTCGAATTTTCCTTGGGGTCCTCCTATTTCCCCTTTATTCATAAATACTTTTAACTTTTGCTCTGAAAGATTAAGACCTTCCATTGCATAAACTAGTTCATCTAGTTCATTCATTTTTTTCAAAATCTTTCTCTGATTCTAATGAATTATTTTGCTGTTGTTTCTAGATTTTCTTCTTTTGTTTTATCAATTTTTTGTTTTTCCAAAAAATTTTGGATTAATGTTTCATCCATACTTCCTTTTTGATAGGTGTTTTTACTCGCAAATTTTTTTGCTAGTAATTCTTTTATGTATTTTTGACTTACCTTTTTGTTAAATTTTTCTGTTTTTTCAATTATATCCGTAATTCTTCCAGGAATATTTTCTTTAAGAGAAATGATTTATATTTCTATCATTTTTAGTCTTAAAGTTAATTGTTTATGACTTTCCATTAAGTCTTTTAATAGTTCTAAGACTTCTGTTATGCTCATGTTTATTCTGAAAAGTAATAATCAGATGTATTCATATCATCTACTTTTGCAAATTCTCCTTTATTTTTCTAAGTTAAGGCATTTGCAAGAGATTCTTCTAAGGTTTTCTAAATATCTTCTTTTGTTATCCTTTTCAATAATATAAGGATTTTGTTTTCTTGGAACTTTAATAAAACATTTTCAGAAATATGTTTAACTTTTCCCTGGCGGCAGAAGTTTTTACTCACTCTCACACTGATCTTAAGCAAGTACTTAAGTATGCTTTTTCCATTTCAGGAAGTGCTCTATTAATATGATACCTTAGAAGAATCTCTTGCAAATGCCTTAACTTAAAAAAAATAAAGGAGAATTTGCAATAGTCATATGGTGAAAACCCCTTAGAAAAATGGGAACAAAATCATGAAAGAGCTATTTTAACTCTAAAAGACCCCAGTATAGTCATTAGGGTAAAACCTATGCTCTACAATGAAGACGATAAAATTGAATTTAAAATTCAAATTAAAGAATTACTTAATCTAAAATTAATAAGACCAAGTAAAAGTCCTCACAGTAGCCCAGCATTTATGGTAAGGAACCATGCAAAACCAGGAAGTGCTCTATTAATATGATGGATAGCTATACGGTGTCTCCATGCTCTCCTTCTAATTAAATGCACATGGCGTTGTATATGCTTCATAGCATAAATATAAATAAGATGTATATATATATATATATTCTTATATATATTAAATATACATTTATTGGTCGTATCTACTTGGATCCACACATCAAAATCCTAAAATTTATGTTATGAGGAATCGGACCTCTAGATCTGCACCCATATTGGATAACCACACCCGAGTCCGAGATGTAGCAAGTAATTGAGATATTACAAGTATAGCTGTGTCATTCTTACAAAGAAATGAGATGATTTAAAGGAGGATCTAACTTAAATTCTTGTTGTATTTTCTTGTTCAGTAGACTCGACAACATCCTTTTGCTTTTCAAATGATCTCTTAGATTATTTCCCGGCAATAGTTTCACATGGTATTAGAGAAAACAGAAGGACATATAATATAACTTAACAGAGATATTTTGTGGTGAGGACATTAATCAGTATCTTGTGGAGAAAAATGCAATTTCAAGATTTGCAAAGCAAAAGAAATTTGTAAAGTTTTGGAAAGCATCATCACCTGCCCAGTACAGAAGCCATTTATGTTGCTCATTTCGATTCCCCGTCTCAATTGCTTTAAAGGTAGAATAAACAGGCAAAACAATCCCTACAGAACAGCTGCAAATACCTTTAAAGTTCAATTATAATCTTCAATTTTCCAAATAATAGAAGCGACTAAATAAGTAGAGTTCAGAATGTCTATTAGAAACAAAACTTCTTCAGGTTCGTGAAACGGCACTGAAACTTTTGCATCCTCATCCCAAAAAACAGTGTAGGATGCCTTCTTAAACATAAGAGTGACAACAGCAAAAATCAACTGGGGTCATCAAAAAGAAAATCTCCAGACTCGAATAAGAGCTCACCATGCAGTGCGGACAATAACATTAGTATTAAGCGGGCTAAGAAGCAATTTTAACCCCATCTGCATCAAAAGAAAGTGATGTGAGACCAGAAAAGAAGAAAGAACGTATACCTTCTAAATGCAGACATAAATGAAAGTTATAAGCACAAGGATGACCAGTAATAGAGAAGAAGTTTTAGTGAAGCTTGAAAAGTAAAATTGTAAGATGAACCTCAAGGGTTGCGGAACAAGAGTGGTTGGCCACTGACCAGTTCAAACACTCTGAGACTGGGGAAGTAGTATATGATACTTACAAATTTTACCAACTTGTCAAGTAACCATAATTGGCAAGAAGATCTAAAAGATCACTGTCTGTTTCGACATTTCCTCAGAACACTACAGCATGACAAAAATGATGATATTCTATATATGCTTCTAACAATCTAATCAATTCATTCATTATTTTATACTAAAGTACTGACACATATAGGGTCATTTAACATAACGACCAATTTGTTGAGATAATTTTATCTAGTCTAATCCCATCTTTGACAGACCAATCTGGAAAACCCTCACTGTTTCGTCCAATGAAGGTGGTGATCCTCTGAAAAAGAACAAAGGTGAAAAATGATACTCTAATATAAGAAATTCTTCTGTTGTGTTTTTTGTCTTTTTATTGAATTTTACATATAAGTTTGAAGTCGAAAGTGCACATCGTTTGAATTTTACACTGCCTAGTTGCTTCTGGAATCTGGTGTACGCTTCCTAGTCCCTCTAGGATACAACAGGTGATGCTTAAAGGAATGAACATATCATCATCTTACTTATTAGAAGAAAAAAAGAGTTGTTCGTGACTGGGTGAAAACACAGGCGATAATTATCTTTCTATAATCCGCTAAATTGAAACAAAAACATAGCCTAAAACCTTAATTGCTAATGATCCTACAAAAAAACTCAGTTAAATTAGAAACACCCTAATTTACATATGAAATTAAGCATGGACCATAACTGGCGGCAAACCGGATTGTCAGTTAAACGAAATCGCTGTCAGATCAGTGTAAACATTGGGGAGATAATGAGAGAAAGGATACCTCGCTGGAGAGATTTGATGCAAACATAGCCATTCCTGCCATTCCCGGAGAGAGGAGTTTTTTTCAGTTCCGGCGATCGTCGGAAAGTTGAGTATAAATACGGCAATCTATTGACTTTTTTTGTGAATTACATATCCACCTCTTCAATTTGTAAAAATTCACTCCGGTCCTTTTTCTTAGTAATTTGTTGATCTAACTACCTATTACTTTGAAGAAATTGACAAATAATCACTTTTTGGGCCACTAATCCATTTTTAGCCATGATCTTAAGATTATTAATGTTTTAGTTATTTTTAAATATTTTTGATGTGCTTTAAGTTTCATAGCTATTATAAAAGTTGAAATTTGAAAATTTAATTCAATTTTAATGAAATGGTAATCATACAAGTAAGTGTGTGAAGGGTTACTAGCTTTGCTTATAAAAAACATAAAATGATATCGTAACAGTACAAATATTTACAAATAACTGTACAAATGATTACTAATTTGTTATACTTGGACATAACATAAATGATAACTATGTAAAGGGATAAAATAACCAAACAAAATAATTGTTGATATTGTCATAACAAAGCACAATATATTTTATAGTCGCATAAATATCTAAAGATAATCATAGAGGGTACGTAATTGAAAAAAATTTAAAACTATCTAAAAGCTAAAGAAGAAAAGAGTGTACTTTACTAAGAAATACTTAGTGATGTTTAGTTAATATGATATTATTTATACACTAGTGTTTTTTAATTGTTTCTTTTAAAATTTTATGTTATTATATACGATATATTTAAACCTCGTTTTAATTTTAATGCGGGAATGTTGAAACTTCTTGAGACGGCTAGAGATCACACACTTCCTATGCTTTTAATAGTTTTTTCTTACTTTCGTTAGGAATGCACATTAGCCATTCTTATTCGGTTTTTCCTTTTATGTAATCATTATCTACAGTTTAAAAGCTTCATAGATAATATTAAATTGAAGTTATGTATTTATATTATACGTATATTATATAATGATATAATAAAATAAAATGCAAAAATGTTTATTTAACTTGAACTTTAGATCCAAAATTATATTTAATGAAATGATTGCATAAAAGTCAGACATATTATCTGTCATGACTTGATTAGAAATAAAATCATGACATATATATTTTATCATGATTTGACTTATAATATATATTTAAAACTTCATTTGTTTTTATCTATTTCAATTCTAATACTATTTCAAACTCTACGATTTATTTTTTATCAATTTTGAATCTTCATATCAACTCCATAAATTAATTCTGAAATTTCAAACTCCAAAAAATATAACTAATTAAATTTGATTTTGATAAAAATTGGATCAAATTATTCATGTATTCCCTTATTTTATTTTAGCCAAATTGATTTTATAGACTATTTATAATTTAAATTATTCATGTATACCCTTATTTAAGGGAAATTGATTTTTATAGACTATTCATAATTTAATTTTCACGTATACCAAGAACTATACTACGTACGTACTTTTCGGTGCATATGATTTTTGTTATATACTCTTTTCTTCTTCAATAGTAATGTTTCAGATTTTATACATTTTTTAAGAAATTATAGATAGAAATTACAATGATAATTTTATTATATGAATTTAATAAATATAATATTTTGAAAATTCTAGTAAGAAAATAATTATAATTAATAAGGATAAATTAAAAAATTAAATATAAAATTATTCATTAATATAATAAAGTGAACAAATATTATTGAATACAGAACCACGGTTGTCGAAGAGTATCTGTTGTATGTCACAATTAGTCAATAGTAGTATATCAAAATTCAAAACTAAACTAATTAGTTGCCCTAATCGAATGGACTAGCAATGTAAAACCCCAAAAGCTCATTCTTCTTAAACCCCGAAGGTTCTACATCAATGGCCCTTTTTCTGTCATCATCCTTCTTCAACCCTTCGCTTTCTTCTTCCAACAACCAAAACACTGCAAATTCCCGTCCAAAAACTGCACAAATCAGTACTGTTAGTGCCGTACCTTTATGTGTTCCATCTATTTCATCTACATCGTCACCTGTAACTCCAATTCTGAAACTCGACCAACACAGCTCTGATTACTCTCACCTGTTTCCTTCACTTTCATTTTCCAATATTCTCTTCTTTAAATCAGCATATAATGTTCAGGTTATAGCTGGGGAACACGAGCCGGAAGAGAAACTCATCGGCCGCTTCCGCAGGGAGGTTTTCAGAGCTGGAGTTATCCAAGAGAGTAAACGCCGAAGATTTTTTGAATCTACTCAGGAAAGGAAGAAAAGGAAGTCTCGTGATGCTGCCAGACGAAACCGCAAAAGGTTTGTATCGATTTTTGCCTTTTCTCATTTATCCTTGTATTCCTTGATTTTGCTCATTTGAAAATGATCAACTGAATTTTGCCTCTTCAGAAGGAAATTGGTACATGTTGTAGTTTTTGCCATTATTTAGTGCGCTGAGCTTGTATTTTGTATAGGACGAAGAAAAGTGAGCTGACTCAGTTCCACTTATCTTTGTCGTATTTTATTAGTGTAGATTTAGGTTCAGAAAGAAACATAGTTCAACCAGTTAAAGATTTCGTGAAGTAAGCTGTTAGGAGACCCTCCTTGCCGAACAGTAGACAACTTAAGATCCTTTCTCAAACCTGCTCTGATTTCAAGTGAATAGATAGATAAATGTACGCATTCCACCATTACTATTGTGTTATTAATATGGTTCTATTCCCGATTGGTGTATCTGTTAAAAATTTTGTAGTTGCGTGATTTATTCAATTTCTTTGTGGAGGAGTTCAATGTATCACATCAAAATCATAAAGCATCTTCATGGGTGTAAAAGTTATTTTGAGATTAGAATAAAGAAGAATCAGATAGTGTAGCTGAGCCCCTTAAGTTGTCCAGATGAGGCTTTTCCCTTTTAAAACTAAGTTTGTGGCAATATCTTATGCTTTCACATCATATCATAAGAGGCACTTCCGTTGTTGGTTGTCCTAGAGTAAAAACAAAAAAACTGAATTGGATAATATAACTCGATTTCTTTTTTGTATGCTCAAAGTAGAGCAAAAGGAAGTCCATTGTTTGTAGACAGTTTACCAAATATATAGCAGGTATATTTGCTAGAGATTCTGCATGAGTTCTGATCAATAAAGCTTGTGAGTATAGCATGGATACATACATGGAAAACAGTCTTTGTTATATTAATATTCTTGGATTTTGACCAGACTGAGACAAAATGTGAATTTCTCATGTACCTCAACTTTGATCTTATAAAACTCGACCATTGATGATTTTTTCTCATTGAACGAGAAGTACAAAAATATGTCAGATTGGTAAAATCAATTTGTGAAATCTTTATTGTTTCCCCTTCCTTGATCTCTCTCATATAGGCACAATGTTTGAATCAGTAGAGAACTTTATGTCCAATTAAATGATATCTCATAAAGCAGGATGAGAGAAACATAATATTTTTTTCATCATTAAGAACAAAGGAGCGGATTTGATTTCATCATTAAGAACAAAGGAATGGATTTGATGCGGTCTAAAGGAAGGTCTTTTCAGTTAATATTGAAAATGTGATTAGCATTTTTGAACATTATACCTGCATGCTATGTTGCTCAAACTCTAGGGGTGTGCAAACATATTCTACCCTCCAATTTAGCTTTCTTTTGTTCATTGAAATTATACACAATAGTTACTTCTTTCTTCATATTCAGTGGAAATAAATTTGAAGATGTTGGACCTCTTGTTGCAAAAGTAGCAGAGGCAGACACTAGTGGTAACTTTCACCTGGAAACAGACTGCATGGACAAAACTTTAAACATAGGGTATTGGAGGGAATTAGAATGATGAAGAAGGGAACCCTTAGAAAACTTCCAAATGATGACGGACATTTTAATCCGATGGTGCTAACATTTTTGAGCTATATATAACTGAACTTGCATTTGTGCATGGTTGCACATTGACCTTGGTGCATAATTATATCTAGTCTTATTTGATTCCCTCCTCTTTACTATCAACTGCTGGATCACAAGGTTTTCTGGTTCTTGGGTAGGTTTAGGCTTGTGACTGTGTTGACTTCCTTCCTATCCAAAATATACTGGTTTATTTATCCCAGGTCCCTAAAGTGATATGGATGGTTTTGCTGAATTTGCGGTCAGCAAAAGATGGGTTGCCTTCTGTTGTATAGATCTTGAGAAGTAATAAATGGAGGGTAAGATTAGGCCCATCCGAGGGTGGTGAGGAGCGTGATATTAATTGAACCTCCTGGGAATAACAACCTACATTTTAATTCAGTCAGATTGTCAGATGACAGATCTTGACCACTTGAGTTCTTGTGCTTGTCCTTGCTAACTTTTGCCTTCATTTTTGATAGCTTATTTTAAGTGTTCTTAATGAATTGCATGGATACCGGAGTAACAATTGTTAATGGCTAACCAAGCTCTTCCTTTGTATCTGCAGAAGGCCTCAACCAAAAGCTCTACTAGGGGATACACCGGACACTTTGAAGGATGAGGGCTACAGATCTGATGAAGATAAGTGGGACCTCATTGCCATAGAATCACCCTATACTTGACCTTAACGAGCAATGTGAAAACCAAATGGTCTGAGAACAAAGGTTTCATATAGCAGATTTTCTTTAGTACAACGTGGTGTTGCATAGTTCTCGCTTAATTTGCTATAGAACCTCGCTGTATCTGCAGTTTGATGTTTTGTGTAAGCCACACACGAGTATATTGTCGTAGAAAACACTAGTTTTGGCATAAGGGTTTCCCTAATGTTTCTCCAAGTTCATATTAAAGATCAATGGAAGGTTGCTGTACATCTGATTTTAGATTTTGGTGCTGATTTTGCAATATGTGGTGATGGTTCCTAAGAGGATATTGGGTGAACCCCAACATTTGTTCAATTTCTGCCACTCATTTGTTGCTGCAACTAATCTTGGGATTGAGACTGTCTATCCATGTGGGCCTTTCACCCCTTTTCCACCCTATTGAGTTAACCTGTAAATCTGAAACAAGAAAATGACCTCTTATTCTTATATAAATTAATAATTTTCTCTACAAGAAAGTAACTACAAGGTTGTATATGCTTGATTACCACAAGTTATTATCATTTCAATAAGAGGAAAATTTAAAATAGACAAATACGTA